ACAGATCACTTACCTCTTAGTCTGAGCTGTGGAACTTTGTCCTGGAAAAAATTCCATTCTTAATTTTGTGATTTTTAGATGTATACATTTAAAAAAAGTGGCTATCATGGAAACAGGGGAGTAAGTAACTTGGTAACTTTAACAGGAGTGCGCATTTGCTATTGCCAAAGCTGAAATAACAATTGTGTGTTTACCAGGGAAATACGGAACTTTCTATCATAAAGTTGGCTACTTTTTTTAGCCAGGTGTTCCATAACTCTTCAAGTGTATTCCCAAAATAGAAATAATATATTCTATACTGAAGACATAGAAAAATATTTGTTATTTGACATAGCAGTATGTGGTTAGTGAAAAAAATAAAGACTTATTTTTATATTGCCTTATGTGTCTTCACCTTTCCCTTCTCTTTTGTCTGAGGACTCAAAGGGCATTCATGAAAGTGTTGTGGGTTTTGGTCTCCTTTATTTTTAATTAAACTTTGAAATGATTTATTATACAAAATGTGGAGAGCAGAGTAAAATGTAAAGGTGAAAAAGCCATAAACTCATTATCCTGAGTCATTTTTAGTTAATAATTTGATGTATGTTTTTCCAGAATTTTTTCTTAAGCATTTTTTCCTTTTTTTTTTTTTTTTTTTTTGCATAGCTGAGATTGTTAAGGCTTTAATTGCAATTGTAAAAGGAATTGCAGACTCCTTGCTTAAGTGGTGAGGGAACCTATATAAAACTGCTTTGTTCAGTATTTCTTTACCTTTATTCTTCGGCAATAGAATCTATCCAAGCCACCTATCATTAAACATTTCTTATTAATAATATGCTCTCAATTTTGCTTTAAAATGTTTATTTCCCTATTTGACAAGTAGGGTTTATGTAATTTTTGATCTTTTATTTGATTAAATAATTCTTATTTGATCAATAAATATGCGCTATGGGAAAGAAACTAAGCAATATTTTTGGTGCCAGAGTGTCAGAGTCTGGATTTAACTGCAAAATATTCCTGGCTGTCAGGTGAGTGCTATAGGATTTAAGATGCCAAGAGGGCATAAGAGATGACGAGATGAGACTTCCATAGCTGAAGTTGGTCAATGGTTGTTCCTTTCATCTCTCATGATAATGCCCCTAGCTGTGTCTTATGGGATTAGCTTATGAGGTTGTGTTTTATGAGGTGATGGGGCTGAGAATGTGTGCAAGTGAAAATTGCAAGGAACTAGAAAATGTAATGGATTTACATAAACTTCCTTTGAAAGGTACTCTTCATAAGAAGACTGGCAATATTAATAGCCTTTCAGGATACTAATACATAAAGTTTACTGAGTGCTTACGATATATCCGGCACATAACATTTGTTATGGTGTCCTCTCAAGAGTCCTATAAATTAAATAGTGTTATTTTTTCTCATTTTAGCAATGAAGAAACTGTGTTATAGAGAAAGTAAATAATTTGCCCAAAGTCAATAACTACTTAGTGTCAGAATTTGAACTTTGGCAATCTGACTTGAGAGTCTACTTTGTTAACAATGTTTTACTGTGTCTCATCTGGAAGATTCAGATCAATAAACCTCAAGATTCTGAGTCTTGTTATTAGTCTTTTCTGAAAAAGTAACACCAATTTCCAAATGTCAAATATAGAGAGCTTTTGTCAGTATTTTCAGATCTTGAAGGACACGAAAACTCAAAACGTTTTAAATTCATTATCTTCTTTCTTTCGAACTGGACCAAAATGACTTACTGAATGTCTTCAATGGAAAATTAAGTAGTTGCTGAAGAACACCATAACTGATATCTGATTCTGTAGCTACTCTGTACTTTCATTTTCTTTGAGCTATTTTACATTTCTTATAAATTATAGATAACTGATAGCAATGCAGATGATTGCTGTCTAAAATTATGCATGTGAATTTTGTTTGGGGTAGGTGCAATTGCTTTATCTCTGCCCATGGAATAAGCCCGATTTACAACTACTTGTAAATTAATTTCAACATACTTAATCTCTATATATGTGTGATTCTTTAACTCTCACTTGAATCAGTTGGTACATCTATGACTCCCTCATTAATTAACGAGTAAAATACAATCTTTGGCAGGTGTCCATTTTATATTTGTATGAGAGTCATGATTATATCCTCTTTTAATGCCTCAAACTTCCTGTTATTCTTTTACTCTAATCAGCCTCTATATCCTATACATCCAACTTCAAACATATTTTAACCCTATCTTTTCTGTCCCTTTTTCCTTATCTGGGTCCTCATCATCTCATCAATGCACTATATCAGAAGTCTAATTGACATCCAAATGTTTGCTGAATAAATGCATAAACTACCAGGTTTGGGATTGGGATTAAAATATAATAGTTATCGTCAATAATGGGATTAGCTAGATTGGAAATAGCAAAAGATAACAGGGCTCTAGAAAGCCTGCTCTTTCAAAAATCTTTCTGAAATATGGTTTCACTGATACTTCTTTTTCTGATAAAACATTTTAGTGCAATATGCCCATTCCTTCAACAATAATACAATTGCTCTTGCACCGATAATTCAATTGGCTTTGCAGTGGCTGATGCCTGGTTTCATGTCTTCTTCTTTCTCTTCTATTTCTTTAGGCATGGCTGGGTGACACCAAATAGTTTGTTCATCACCTAGAGCTTATACTATCGGGATATTCAAATTAATGGTAATCCATTCAGCTGTTTCTTATTTTTTAAGCTTGATAATAGGATTGGGTTTGACTGGTTGTAAGGGATGAAGAAGAGGAATCATCAATATATAAAATTTGCTTTGCTAATTCGGAGTAGTCAATGCTTTAAGCTCCTCTTCCTCCAAAGAATACTCCTCAAAAATGTCCTTTGTGCTAGGTTTTTATTGTTGTTGTTGTTCTTGTTGGCACTTTCCAAGTATACCTCTAGTAGGTGCCAACTTCAACATTCATTCTTGTGTATGCTTGTGGTAACATAAACAGCATAAACCATAGCCCAGAATTTCCATAACCTAATATACTAATTTAAGGGGGAAATAATGCCCTTATTCAAAGCCTTGAACTTCAGGATGACACCTCAAACCACTGTTTAGAATCTAGAAGTCACATGCAGGGGCAGGTAGATAGAGAGGTTTCCACAAAGAAGTTCTGATGCTGGAGGGATATCCAACAATTATCCAAGACTATACTGAAAGTATCTTCAAACAATCCTATTTCCTGAGTTTCTTTGACTGCACACACAAAATAATTAAAAATTATACTCCTTGACAGGTTCAGGAGCCATCCCAGTACTAGCTTAAGTGTCATAAGGAATAGGAGGCTTTAACATTCTTGAGAGCCCGAGGTATACTGAATTTGCCATTAGCAAAATGTTTGCTTTTATGAGGAGCAGAAGCTGGAGCAAAAGAAAGGGAGCTTATCCTGTCCCTATTTAAGTTGAAACTACAAAAGCTGTATATGTTTCCATTTTCAGCTGCCCCATTGTTACTATATAAACAATGCTAGGAATGTTCATTTTATCTAGATGCTTATAAAATGGATAAAGTGTCAAAATACTCTTCTAAACCAAAGAATTTAAAAAATGAGTAAAGCTCGAAAATTGAACTTCTTCAATATTTCTTAAAACATAACACTTGACCACAGATATGAATTTTGTGAATGCTTAGATACAATTAGAATTTACGTACATATCTATTAGAAAATATCCCTTTTTATTAAGAATTATTTTATTATAAAATTATGGGTATTTTTTCACTAATATAAACCTTTTATTAACTTATATTAATATAATTATCTCTAAACTAGTTTATAATTACATAACCTAACATTTTCTAATCTTTTTTTACTTATGAATTCTCCAAAGTTTTAAAAATCATTTTATCTATTTTTGTATGGTATACAATAAAAAAGGGAATTTAATAAAATATTTTTACATTAGCATATCTACATATAATCCACATTCTATCAAAATAATTTTCCTTCTAAAAATGTAGAGCTTTTATTTAAAATAATGATTTTAATATTTAAAATAGTTAAAATTTTATTATCTAATTATTTAAAATATATATAAGGATAAATTTATAATCCTTCCTAGTCAGTAAACAAAATCAAGGTGCTTCCTTTCCTTTAAATTAATTAAGCAAAAAAAAGCTTATCTTGTCAAAATGATATTTAAAATGAAATTTATTTCTTTTTGGGACCAAATATATGCTTTAAATATATATTAATGTGTAACTAAACATTATGCAACAAAAAGAGCAGAAACACCTTTCACAACCTTGGAATTTTAGTATATTTTTCAAAAACTCAACTGTTTTATTATTTATTTATTTATTTATTTATTTATTTATTGATGAAGCAAAATCAGTGTTTTGAGGCTACTTCTGAAGATCTTTTCATAAATAAAATAATTGCCTTAAGATATAATAATTATTTCACAATACGTGGATTACATATTATGTTTTCTCATTTTTGAAGCCCTTCTCTTGAAGAACTTTTTAAGAGTATGGCTTCTGATCTGGTGAAGAATAGTTTTTGTATTATAACCACCAAAGAAGCAGAACTTTCTGCTACATGGTGTGACTAAATTGATGAGATCAACTTTGACGGTAACTAACAGTATCAAAATTGAGGGGAGTAAATTTCTCCAATGGGTATAATACACAACTCTTTCATAACAATTTTATCAATATTTTTCCCTGGGTAAGATTATATCATGGATAATGAAGACATTAACAAATCTCTCGAGCTTGTTGATTTATTTTGCACAATGTACAATCTCAGAAAATTTTATATGAGCAACATTTTATCCTTTCATTTTAGAAAATTATCCTTTCATTTGACAATGCTTCCCATAAATTTCTTATAATAGTGATGAACTAATTCAGAAACATAAAGTATAATCAAAGCAACCTAAAATATTTCTGGCATTTCTCTTTTTATAAGATAAATATGTAAATAGTTGTGATTTTCCAGGGGATCTTTGAGAAATCTCAAAGATAGTTTTAATTTTAACTGTAGAAGACATCTAGTGCTTGTTTTGGCAGTACGTATACTAAAATTGGATTATATAGAGAAGATTAGCATGGCACCTGCACAAGTATAACATGCAAATTTGTGAAGTATTTCATGTTTTCAGCAAATGATGTTGGGAAAATTGAATATTTACATGCAAAAGAATGAAATTGAATTTTTAGCTTACACCATATACTAAAGATTAACTTAAAGACTTAAACAGAAAAGCTAAAATCATAAAAAGGAAAACATAAGAAAACTTCGTAACATTGGATTTGGCAATGATTTCTTGGGTTTGACACCAAAAGCACAGGCAATAAAGGAAAAAAAATAGATGAATTGTACTACATCAAAATTTAAAACTTTTGTGCCTCAATGGACACTATTAACAGAGTGAAAAGGGAACCCATGGAATGGCAGAAAATATTTGTAAATCACATATTTCACTAAGGGTTAATATCCAGAATATATAAAGAACTTCTACTACTCAACAAAAAAATACCCAGGTTTTTAAACGAGTAAAGGAATTGAATAGATAATTCTCCAAAGAAGATATACAAATGGCCAACAAGCACGTGAAAAAGTGTTCAAATCATTAATCATTAGAGAAATGTAAATCAAAACCACAACAAGATGTCATTTCACAACTATTTGGATAGCTGTTATCTAAAAACCGAAAATAACAAGTATTGGCAAGAATGTTGAGAAACTGGTAGTCTTGGTATTGCTTGTGCAAATAGAAAATGGTGTAGCCACTCTGGAAACTGATATGGCCATTCCAAAAAAAAAAGAAAAAAGAAAAAAAATTAAAGAGCTAGAACTACCATATGATCCAGCAATTCCACTTCTGGGTATATACCCCAAAGATTTGAAAGCAGGGTCTCAAAGAGTTATTTATGTTCATAGCTGCATTAATTCACAATAGTCAAAGGGTGAAAGCAATCCAAGTGTTCATTGAAAGATGAGTGAATAAACAAAATGTAGTATGTATGCACAGTGGAATATTATTCAGCCATAAAAAGGAAGAATATTCTGACACATGCTATAACATAGATGAAACTTAAAGACATTCTAAGTGAGAGAAACCAGTCACCATAGAACCACTTATATAAGTAATCTAATATAGTCAAATTCATAGAGACAGAAAGTAGAATGGTGGCCTCCAAGGGCTGGGCGGAGGAAGAGATGGAGAGATATTGTTTAATGGGGATGGCGTTTCAGTTTGGGAAGATGAAAAGTTCTGGAGATGTATACTGCTAATGGTTGCACAAAAATGTGAACGTACTCATTGTACTTAATGCCACAGAACTGTATACTTTAAAATGTTTAGGATGGCAATTTTTATGTTCTTATATTTTACCACAATAAAAAAAAATTAAATTCTAAAAAATTAATCTTTCTCAATTTAGAATTTGATATTGGGAAAGCAAAATAAAAATTACCAAAATATATTTGGTCATTTGATTGAGACAGGAGTAGAATAATCTGCAAACAATGAAGAGTTATAGCCTAAGTCATCATAAATCAAAGTTACAATATGTTACAATAAAAATAGAAGGTAACAAAATTGTAAGGAATGTTAGCTGTTCTGAAGAGATGAACTTAAAAAAAAATAATCAAGAACATAATAAAGTCAGCACAAATTACAGAAAATTATTCTGGTGATACAGAATTTCTACTGAAATTTCAGCTTATACAAAAGATAAAGAATAATCTTTTATTCTCCTTAGTATTTCAAAATCAATTTATATTTTCACAAGGAGAAAATAAAATTCCAGTGTTAGATTAATTCGGTCTTCCGCAGTAAAGGATATTAACATATATTTATAAATAAGCCCACCAAATTAAGCAAATTTTGCCAAAATTTTAACATATTTTGTCTGTTTCCTTTCAGACTCAGATATTATAAAGTATGGCAAATAAAGTTCACTTTCCTCAAGTCTCCTACAACTTGCTATATACACTCAAGTTTTATCTTTCCCTGTGTTCTTTAAAATACTGACTCTAAAACAAATTTATTCTTTTTTTCCTCAAAAAACATGCCAGACTACCTCTCATGATTGTCGAGGGCTGAATTTTTCTTTCTCATTTTGTATGATTTCATTTTTTCTTTATTTGTTGAGACTTGTTATATGACCCATAGTATGGTCTATTTAGAGACGTTCTATGTTCATTTGAATGATCAACATATATCTCTCTCTATCCCAGGTAATATTTTCTCGTTTTGAGGTCTACATTATATGAAATTAATATAAACACCAAGTTTCTTTTGATTAATGTGCGTTTTTATGTATGTTTATATACATATCTCTTTAATTATTTTAAACTAACTATTGAAGAAAAAGTAGTGAATTACAAAAGAGCATGAGGAAATTTGAGGATTGATGGAAATATTCAGTATCTTGATTGGAAGTGATATCATAAGGGATATATATGTTAAAACTCATCTGATTGTATCCTTGAACTGAGTGCAGTTTTTGGTACAAAAATTAAACTTCAAAAAGGTTGATCGAAGACAGACTATAATAATAATAAAAAAAAAAATCTACAAACTCTCCAATATTTGGAAATTAATGAACATCTAAATAAACCATGGGTTAAAGAAGAAATCACAATGAAAATTTAAATTATTTTGGACTAAATAATAATAAAAAGACTTCAGACAGAAGTATCCAGGATGCAACTAGAGCAATGTTTAGAGAGGAATCTATAGCTCCAAATGTTTATATTAGACATGAAGAAATATTTAACAACATTGATCTAAGGCTCTACCATAGGAACCTAAAAACAAAATTCAAGTCCAAAGTAAGTCAAAAGAGAGAAACAATAAAGATCAGAGCAGAAATCAATGAAATTTAAAATGGCCAACAATAGAGAAAATTAACAAAGCAAAAAGTTTGTTCTTTGAAAATAATACAGTTGATAAATTCCTGGATGGGAGACATGCCGTTTGTTTTCTTTTGGGATGTGAGTGCACTAACCAAAGAAAATTGGATATCTCAGCGTTCTACATAATATTAATTTTTACCTTAAATATTATCAAAACAACTATGGATATTAGCCTTTGCTGACAACTTTAGGTAAGATTTTGAAGGATACAAAGAAATTTGCTGTATAAACAGTAAAGGTAAGGTAAGGACATTCTCAGTACCCACGCAGAGACTTCAAATTATGGACAAGCACGTATGGTCACAGTTTATGAAAAATTATCCAAAACTTGGAAATAAAGTCAAGAGAGTACAGTATATATTTTCAGTGGATAATTATTTAATAAAAATATCTGAGGATTATTTGATTCTTTCAGAAAATTAAACAGACACTTTTACCTATGTTTTACTGTTCTCCTTACTGTTTCATTAGAGCCCAGACACTGAAATGCATGTAATCTCGCAGATTTTTATATGATTGAAAAGTTAACTCCCAGAATTATGGGGGTTTTTTTTGGTTTCTTTTTCACTGTACTAGTTTTGTTTGTAACCTAGCAATCTTCTTCTAACATTACTAAAGCACCTATAAATATATCCTCAAAATGTTCTTTGAATTAGCTGTATCTTACTTCTTAATGTTGAGACAGTTTTTCATAGGTCTCTCACATTTCTGTGTATCTTATGAAAAGAGGTGCTAACTGCCTTTGCTCTAGATTATCTTTTCCAAGAATGTTTGTATACCAAACAGCGTTGGAAGATACAGTATTTGCTTCCAGAACAAAGCTCAGGTTTGCTTAGAGCCTTGAAAGATATCCTGAGGGTGGGGAAGGTGGTGGTCAGGTACGCTTAGTGTGTACTACCTAAGCTCAGAGTTCCTCTCGTGGAATACAGCCACTGCAAGTGCAATTGTCACATGGCCTCTTTCATATCACTCTGTGGAAATCGTGGTTTGAAGAAGTGCACCAAATATGATTACGCTTATGCTGCTTGATTTGCTATGAGTAACAAATTTCTTTCAGCCTCTGGGCCAGGCATCCTTAGTCTTTTGCCAGCATCCATGAGTCCATGGCAGGTGACCGTTTAGTTTGCAAGTAGGGTAAAATGTTAGATTCTTTACATTTCTTGACACCTTCTTCATTATTTAAAAAACTGGACAAAATGCTTGACTTGACTTCATTCTATATTTGCATGAGAGCTATGTTTCTATTCTTCGAAAATTGTACTTTAATTGTTGATAGGTCATTCACTGAGATACCTGAATGGACTTACCTGCTGGGTTCAAGAATGGCATTGTCTGAGAAGTGAACTTAATGAGCTGTTAAGCTGAGTACACCTTTTCCTGGTTCATGTAGTGATTCCCAATCAACAATAGAAATTTACCTTTCCTGACTCACTGTTTCTCCAGTTTTTTTCCTTTTTCTTTTTTCCTCTTGATTTTCATTTTCTTTCTTGGTTCTTAGTCAAGTCTGTTAGATGGTCTATGTTTTGTCTAACTGGGTGTTTGGGTTAAGATGCTTTCCACAACAAAGTGCAGGGACGAGTGGTCTAGGAGGCTGGTCTTGACTGGCATAGTCAGTTGAGCACCTTGTGTGTACATATATTTAATTTGTGTGTGGCCAATAAATATTTCCCAATTGATCGCAATAATGATTGGTAATCTGTTTGTATGATCTTGCCATTTAGTAATCCCTGTAAGGGTGATGGGGATCTGTTTTTTGTCAGGTAAGGAAAAACAGAGAATCTGGCTTCTTTTTCTGTTTAACTATTTTTGAACTCCTATCAATAAAGAAAATATTTGTCGTTGGAAAGGAGAATAGTTCTTTGATATCTAAACTACAGACTTTTCTATTCTGTGTATACTTTTACCTGTGACCAAGGTTACGAAACTAAACATGCAAGCTATCTCTGCATTTTATTTTTCGTGTGCGTGTGATTGAAAAAAGTCTTTAGCTTTTTTCAGGTAATTTAAAATATTTTCCTATCTCCAGAAGCTATTAATAAATTAGATTGTAATGTCTTACAAAAGAAAAGAGCTCTATTCTGATTGATTGATCTAACTTAATAGATTATTACACAAATCTAATATTTCCAGAATATCTAGAAATTAAAGAAACTAAAATTTAATGTTTTATATATGTTAGTCTTTTCAAAATTCCTTTCTAGAGAAACTTAGTTCAGAAGCATTTTTATATAAA